GGGAGACCTTATTGCAGCCTTTCAGTACTTAAAGGGGGCCTACAAGAGAGATGGGGACAGACTTTTTATCAGGGCCTGTTGTGATAGGACAAGGAGTAATGGTTATAAACTAAAAGAGGGTAGATTCAGATTAGATATAAGGAAGACATTTTTTATGATGAGGGTAGTGAAACACTGGCACAGGTTGCCCAGAGAGGTGGTAGATGCCCCATCCCTGGAAACATTCAAGGTCAGGTTGCATGGGGCTCTGATCTAGTTGAAGATGTCCCTGCTTATTGCACAGGGGTTGGACTAGATGGGCTTTAAAGGTCCCTTCCAACCCAAACCATTCTGCTTCTATTCTGTGACCTAAAGAGGTAAGAAGCTATGACAAAAAAAAGGGATCACAAATATGAGGCAGACTTCAAAACAAAATCAGCAGAATGTAAGTGAGCTGGATAAAGAAGGAAAATGGTATTTACCAACTTCCTCCTTTTTCCAAAGCTTCAGCTTCTGGAGTTTAGTGTTAGTGGAGAATCTTAAGACTTCAAATATCAACATGAGCATTAACTTCTATTTCAACTCTCCAAGAGGAACTTTGACCCTGAAAATTTAAGAAAATAATACGGAAACTAAATTGTAAACCAGGTGGGATTTCTAAATACATATACAGTTGCATTTTGACCAGAAATCTTTACTAAGACATTACAGAAAAAATATTTTTTAATTTGTTTCTTTAAAGAAAGGATTTCCTTTGCCACTGCTAAAATGAAATTAACTGGTCATTTGCATTTTTTTCTTCCTTTAGCACCAAGAGATACATTGCTTGAAGAAAGTGGATGAGCCATCTCACTCCTGCAACCCCTCAGTAAGGAATGATCCTTACTCTCATTTATATCCAAGTGCTGCACCACCCCAAACAGTATTAAGGAATAAGATAAGATGGGTGATCAAAGACTGTAAAGGTCCTTCAAACATCCTTTTTTTTTTAAAAAAAAAACAGCGTTCTTCTGCCTTTTTTCTGCATTTTCTCCCCCCAAAATTATCTGAACCTTTTCATCTCCAGGTATCTACCGTCAAGGTCTGAATTCTTTACAAACAAGCTTTGTTTACAAACAAGTAAAGGCCCTTTAGGGGAGGAGGCACACTGTCTTGGTAACCTGTATAACTCAACTGCCAGCAAACTACCACGTTTGTTATCTCCGATCTTGTCTGGAAAGTGTTTTTTTAAATTATTATTTTTACTATGTTTGTGCATCACAGCATACGCATTAACATTTAATGACTGTGATGCCATAATCATCCAAAACAAAAGCTGAGTATGACAGAGTTTTCCCAAGCCTTTTAGGACAAGGTTTATCAGTGAGTCGCTCTCTTGTCCCTGACTGCTTTCTCTTCCCTCTCACAACTGGCTGTGATCGTAAGTAGACTTCCATACTTGGCTAAAACAGGATTTTTCAGATTTTTTTCCACCAGGAACGCAAGGTACTTATTGATGATTTCTTTCCTGCTCCTCTGGAGAAAGACAGTTTGAGACTTCGAGTGAAGTCACAGTTTCATGCTTTGGACGGGCTCTTTGAAGGTACTTGCCCTTTTCATTTGGAGATGATCACTCCCAGTACCGAGTTTTGCACTCTGGCCCCTTCTGTGGGCTGATGCAGATTCTGAGGACTGCAAAAAATACACAGCCAGTTTTGATCTCTGAGCCCACCGAAACTGTCAAGTCTATCCTGATATGTGTGTAATCCTGTAACAGGCTTTCTTTGAACCATATTTCTTGATGTTTGCCAAGATGCAGCTTCACTTGGAAACATACAATTAATTTTTTTTTTTTAAACTATTACAGTATTCGATGACAGTAATTAACCACTGGAACTTAACACACTTTTGACTTCCACGAAAAATTCAAATTTCTCCAATACAAAAATAAAAACTACTGCTGTTGGAAAAGAGTCACCACAGCTGCATCTGTTTAGGCAGCACAACTAGTTGATGGCCACTGAACATATAAGCCATTTTTCTACAAACATCTGGGGGCTGCTAGAAGAGCTCTAACACAACAGCATTATAGAGACGGATGAACAGCCATATTTTTCTTTACCTCAGTTAGTACTTGCCCTTAGTGTCTTATACTGATGTCCGATTTTCCTAAGGAAAGTCTGTATTTCATTTATTGCTGCCTGACTATTTGCACCTCTTTCTATCAATCATTCAAACTTTTAAGATTTCTCTAAACTATTGTACACGTAAGCTGGGTTTAAAATATGAGGGTAGTGCACATGCACATGTACAGTCATAGTGGTACACAGCAATAATAGTGCTCTGTGTGTAAATCACTTTACAGCAGAAACTAATAAACTCACTTTTATTAAATCAGTTTATCACAATTGTTAAGTTACAAAAATAACTTCATCCATAATGACGTTAAGTACTAAATACAAAGGTAAAACAGTTGTGCAGTGCTCTTAAAATAGAGTAAAACTTTTTATGTATTTGAGAGGGGCAAAGTAGCTGACCCAGAAGTTCTTGTTTAAGACTGTTGGTCTGCACTGATCAACTATATTTAGTTCTTCTTGACTTGAAGACATATGGAAAGCAAACTACGTATTAAGGGATTGAATCTCGTCTAGGCAAGAGTGAAAGCAGTGAGTTTCTGTGCTGCTTAAGAAGAAAACCAGCGCAAGCCTCAATCCATTTTAAGTACAACAATGATTATTTTAAAAAATGAAACCAAACACCAGCAACTATTTGGAAGTGCACAGCAGCAGAGAAATTTTGTTCACTTGTCTTCCACATCTGCTACCATAGCCTCAATTGCATTCCAGTCCAGTTTGCTGAGGATACTTCCCGTGCTTTCAGAAACACCATCGGTGTCAATAATGCCGAGAGGAGAGAAACTCGCAGGATGCAGTGCAGAGGACTATTGGAGGAAAAGAAGATGAGCTGAATCATTGCATATCATTCATGGACAAGACCTCTGTGCAGCCAGTAGAAATGATTCCACTCTTTTTCAAACATGTCCTAATCAAGTTATGTATCTGATACAAATGTAATTTATTTTCCTGTTTATGTACTCCCACTAGTGTCTGTTGCCTGGACAGACAACATGCCTATACAGTTGTTAGAAAGAACATTCATTTTCAAGGCTCACACGAATGACTTTGCTTGTAAAGACAAAATGTAGTTCTGTTGAATCACCATCATTTATGTCCCTCTGCACCTATCGCACCCACAAGTTTTGAATAGAGAGCCACGTTTTAAAGCAGAAGTAAACAAAGTGTTAAATGGCAGGTATCAAATCATTCCTAGAATATAGTAGACATCCTACCTGAAACAAGGAGTCATGAGTATCTTGAAGTATTCTTTGGATATCATCCGGCACAGTCCAAGGACTTACTATGTCTCGATCAGTCTCTTCATCAACACCTTCTGTCTGAACTACAGTGGCAACATGTGGAGGCTTTTGTTTTGATGTTCTGCTGACTCTGTTCTCAGCAGCTGAGGAGACAACAAGCCACTGTAACATTCCTTGCTGTTTTCTTCTGAATATCTTGACACTTCTCCAAGAACAGAAGCTCCAAGTTCTAAGAACTGAAGCTGTGTGTAAAAAGAGCATGCCCTGTTATCTTGAACTGATGTGGGATCATGGCAAGAAAATGCTGCTGGTCCCTTCCAGCCTTACGTTCCGAACTGTCTTCCCAGAGCAGAACACGAAGTGGAACAAGACTATGCATGGTGCCTACAGCACCTGGGTCCTGTAGTGCAGTCCTCAAAAAGAGACATTGCTACATTCTTTGATAGAGGAATAAAACTGTATAAATCCTGGATTTGTGCCTCTTGGAAGACATGAAACCTTAGTGAAACCCTTAGCAGTGATGGGATATACTGGAGAAACAGATACAAGAAGGTGATATGAAATCAGAGAAAGATCAGCTGGTATTTAGAGTTTAAAAAGAGAATATATGGAAAGGAGCAGGAAAATGACTTTCCACACATGCAGAGGTGAGTAGGTGATTCAGGAAAAATGCCTATCTGCTTACTATTGCTTCTTTCCCTTTCCTGCATTGTCAATGCAAATAAACTATTTGACTAGCCAAATAGGATCTCTATTATGCCACTAGTATAATTCTGATGTAAGGGAGAATGGAATCAACCCACAGTATTTCCTAAGTTTCAGACTGATTTTTTCCTCAATGTTTCTGTGTCTGATCAGAAATTCTGGTCTTGTAACCAAGTCCTGCATCTGTTAAAGAATTTGATTAGGAGGAAACATTTATGTGAAGAAACTTTTGCGGATCCAGACCTACACAGACAGGCATAGGGAAAAAGGATCACTAAAATCCAAAACTCTTTTTTAAAAAAGTTCAGTCATAACTTTTTCCACTCTAACATTATGAAAAAACAATATCTTAAATAGACGCTGTACAGAGGGATAACAAAGACAATTCCCACTTCAAAGAGCTCAGAAAGTAAGCAGCATAGAAAGGTAAGGGAGAGGCACAATACTTGTGTACGGTAGTGGTAACTAACTCTCTGTCTGTGGGTTTCAGCTGAAAGAAAGGCTTAAGTCCTCTGTCCCTCATGACTTCATAATGCCTGTTTCAGGACATCACTTAAATCTAGCACATTTGCTTCAGTAATCTTGGAACTACCATCTGGCTAAAACAATTCAGGAGGTAAACAGAGGTGATTGATTAAAACATTTCACAAGTTTCTAATGAAAAGGATTTTCATGTGGGGGAAAAATGATGATTTTTATTCTTCTAAACTAATGCCGTATCGGAGGCCTGTCTTGCATAAATTCCACCCAGGATGTATTCTGAAATGTGTTCTCTGTGTCTTATTTTTCCCCTGTATTATGTAGCTGAACAGCACTATATCATCGCTCCTTGTAACTTACAGTGTCTAGAATTAACAGGACAGTTTGCAGCATTTCTCATTCTTCCTCTGGAAGTACTTTTCTGTAGGAGCATACGGGTATTTCCTGGGAACACAAAGAAAGCATTTCCTCTGTGAGGTGCAGCAGATCAAAACTACTCAAAAGATGCTTCAAAATTTTCATCTATGAGCTTGCTTCCTAGATTACACAGTACTCTTGCTATGGCAAATTAAGCTACTTCGGATTTAGAAAGAGAAAAGGAAAGGTAACTCTCATCATTTAACAGGCCAAGGACAGCACAGTTTTGAAAGCCTCAGGACAGGAAACCTCCAGGATTATAAGTCTGACTTTCTACATAGGTGTTAAAGCTCCTCCCTCCCAAAATCTGGTAGTAACATGAAGATCATCTTCAGTATGTGCCTTCATTAAGAAAGTTATGTTCTTACCCCTGGAATGTGTTAAACCAAGAGCTGGGGTGAAACGGTGTACTTTTTGACCAAAGCTGGGTCTGGCAGCAATTCTGCTCCTTTCTGACAGAACAGGACTGTTCAGATGCCCTCTACAAAAAGGAAAAAAAACAACAACAAAGCCAAAATACTTACCACTGTCTACCACATACCATTCCTCCACACAACTTAGTTCTAACAGGGCTTATTCAGATGAGGCAAAAAGGCTACAGAAATCACCTTCAGCCTACTTAGCTGAGGATCAGCATCACATGCTGCTTGTGGGGCGAATAAGCCTCACCAGAATCAGAACTGCTGGCAATCACAGTGAAGACATATCAAATTGGCTTTACAAAGAGCCAGTTTAGGTCCAACAAAACTTATTAGTTAGGAGTTACTGCCACTCCTAAGGTGGCTTTCTGCATGACATTCCTTAGTTGTTCCAGTTCTGGCAGGGCTGATCCACTTAAACAGCCCTTGGACATCACCAGCAGGCTTTGTACAGCACTGACTACATTCAGTTTAATGCTCTATCCTGGAACTTTACCTATTAAAAAGAGATGCAGAAATATCTAAGTCTGGAAGTTACAGGTTTATCTGAAGTACACAGTTCCATCTCCTCAAAAGGCAATAAGCACCAAAGTGCAAAACAAAGAACAAGTAAAGTCCTAGGTAATGAAAAAAATTAGAAAGGAAGAGAGTCAATCTAGAGTTTGCTGAACTTTAATTAGAGTAGTCTATATGCATGCGCAGCAGTACTTTTATTTGCTTCTTGCTTGGTACTAGATGCTCTTCACATCATTAACTATGTTGCTGGCTATAGTCCAGTGGAATTGTTGTTGAGTGGAAAGGTTTAGGACATTGATTACAGCTCTTGACTCCAGAAGCTGTGCTCCAAAAGGCATTTTTAAGGTGCTCTCCAAGATCTGCACTAGTGGTTGTAAGACCGGTACAGGAATTTAAGACTCCTCTGATCCAGACGAAGTGTATCTTTGATTCTGCCAGAATATAAAGCTTCTCTTAAGCTAATCCTATACCAACCAGCTACAAATTGTAGACAAACTTGAAGTGTGCTAAAAACACCAATTCATCAGAGCAGGGTTAATGCTTAAAGTAGTTACCCTTTAGTAGATGCCATACGCCTTTTTCTGTCCTCTTGAGGTGATCTTGTCCTGGACAATAGTCTGTGTTCATTTGCAGGTAACACCACTGTTTCAGATAACATTTCATTCATCAGGGAAAGTGCTTGTGATATTCTCATACTGTGATGTTCAGATAACAGGGCTCTATGGAGAAATAATATTATATATTAATTCATGCTATCACTCATTTAATTGCAGGTGGCTTGTGAGTCTTGTAAGGCTACATGGAATAGAAGAACATATTTTTGCAATTTCAGAGAAGATATATTAACCTTTTTAAGATCATTAGCAAAAAGCTAAAACGTTTATTAACAATGGGTTTGACCGAATGAATGAGTCAATGTTGGGGGAGAAAAAAAAAAAAGAAAAAATGGCATTTGGAAAGTGAAAAATACAGTCAAAGGATGAAACATGTTCAGAGTTTTCCTAAATGGTAAAGCAAACATGAATTATTTATGCTTTTGGCTGAAATGCCATTCGTATCTTAGGTTTCAGAGACAAGATGGTTAAAACTACCTGTTCCTTAAGACCTTTTATATAAATAAGAATAACAAAAGTTACATGTATGGCAACTTACTTGTCTTTTTCTTCTTTCTTCTTCTGGAAGAATTTAATATCCTTTGAAGTAAGACTACAATGCTGTGCAAGAAAGTATAACAATATCATTAACTTATTCTGCATTGTGGTCTCATTCCAATTTCTCACTCTCAAAATGTAGACCTATTTGACTTAAAAGTTACTGCTTAAGACACTCTCCAGAATGAAAAACAATATGAAAACATATGGCCCTAAGCTTGCAGTTACACCTTCCACAGCTCATATGCTTAAAATATTAACATTCCTAAGGAGATGTCTTCACTGTCAAGCTCAAAGTTTCAAACGGCCTTGCCTTCAGTTTCCTAAAAACCAGTGATGTTCTTAACAATAACTAATTTAAAAAACAGGTTTGTACTTTGACCTGTGTTTTCTAGACTACAATTTGCATTTTTTTAATGCTTTCTTCTAAAACAAACAAACAAACAAAAAAACACCAACACACAACAACAAACTACCAAAAGCTGAGAATCCCTCCATCTAACAATTGCAGGAGAAAAGCCTATAACAAAAACATCAAGTATATATTTATGGGTTGGCAACACAGGAGAGGGAGAAGCAGGACCCATTTTTCCTGAATCACTTCTCTCTACACATGTACAAAAGAGCAGCCAGGTTCAACTCTGAAAGACTGCTTAAAACCAGGGGAAATACTGTATTTACTAGATGAGATCTGTTACTCTTTCTAAAAATGAATGCAGTTGAATTATTTAGTAACAGGAAACTTTTGTGTGTTACATGTTTGCTGCTTGGCAGTTAAAATGAGTAAAGCTTCAGCATGAAAGAATTTAACAGCATACCCTGCATTCAAATGATGAGTAAAAAGTATAGGGATATAGTTGCTGTTGCTAGCTGTCACCTCCTGTAACCCTGGAGCTTCCCCTGACTCAGCAGTGTCTTTTCAGGTCCCGAAGGTATCCAGGTGACAAATGCATATTTGAAGACTCAATACTGATTGGGAAATTACTTCTGAGCTACTTTTGTAACTTTTTTTTTTTTTTCCTTCAGTTATTTCCAGCACAGTGCAGATCAGAAGAGGTGTACCAGGCCATAAACACGGTTTTACTAATTAAACTTAAAATTTAAAAAATTCTGGGAGGGAAGTGACTGCTGAGCCTGTATTGAAACCAGCCTTCAACAAAAAAATTCACCAGATACTTGATATATATGCCATATTCTAACACCTCTGCTGACCCTCTGTAATTGCGTACACTTCTGTGTGTGTGAATGACAAGGACGGCTGCCCTCAGTATCCTACGGCATTCGTAAAGAATGCTGGCATCTGAACTCTGCTTTTTAAATTCATTGGGGGTTTTTGGGAGGTGCAGGGGAAGATGAAACAAGATGTAAACACACCTTTACAACTCCTGTAGTTATCACTCCCTGACAAAATACAGCTTTTATCAGTGAATGTTACAGCTATATCCATTACAGTCAGGGGACTATACTTCATGGATCTAGACCTGGGGGACAGGTCGTAATTGCCACCTGCAGTCAACTGTCGTTACTGCAGCCTGTGAAGAACACTGGTATATTTGCGTACTGATGACTTCTGACACAACTATGGCCAGTTCCAGTAAAATAAAATTACACATATGAAAAAACAACATTAGAATAGGAAAAAAATCAGACAGCCTTTATATTATCTAACCTGAACAATCAACACTTGCACAATACATAACAGCTACTCTTCAAGGTACCCATTATTCTTACCACATTCTTTCTTAGATTGAATGGATTATGCTCTTTCTGTCTTTGTTCATCCAGTTTCTTCACATATTCTCTCATTCTTTCCTTTTGCTTTCTTTTCATCCATGCTTGTATCTCTTTCTTCTCCTTTTCTGTTTTTTCAGAACGTGCAGCAACAGAATCATGAACCCTGAGAGCACATGTAAACGGGAGATAATCTAGCACATCCTTTAAATTGCAAACAATGGCACCTACACATGACATAATAAAAATATTGCAATCCCTTTAAAATTCTGACTCAGCTGAATGCATAAGTAATGAACAACGGGGAAATTCTCTTCTGCAAAATTTTATGTCATAAAATCCTGGCACACAATTTCCAAGACATTTCCTATAATTTTTCTTCTATTCATCAACTACATTCAGGTAATAGGACCAAAGCTTTAAATGTGGACCATCTGTTACTGTCTTTATAGGATAACTGGCACAGAAAAAACTGCAAGTCATTTTGCTTTGATCTTTCATTTTTAAGTGTGTATGGTGTAAGTATTTAAAAAGAAAAAAAGACCAATGAGATTCTATCATCCTTTTTGTTCCCTCCCCTCAACATATGAGTTCCTTCACAAGTCTATCTGTACAAAGTAATTTTAAAAACACTAACTCAGAATACTAACAACAGAAAAACACAGCCAATAAGAAATGCTAACATAACTTCATCCTCAGAGTTCTTCAGAAATATTTACTAATTCACCTTGCAATAGTCTTTAATATAAGCAGCTAGGCAACAAGTATTTTCTTCACTGTAAAACTAAAAGCAATGACCTAAAACTTAAATATGAAAAATCAAATATTTCAACTTTAAATGCCTCATTTTTTGCAGCCCACTTTGAAACTACTCTCATTTTCAAGACTGGCAGGCACTAATAATTCCAGAATCAACAGAAGATATGAGTATAGCAAAATAAGATATCTCTAGTAGCTGCAGTTCAACTGAAAGCTTATGGATTGAAGCACTAAAGCCCTGAAGGGATTAGGAGAACTTTGATACATTTGAAAGTGATTTACTTTATGGCAAAGGGAAGTGTCATTACCAGAAGTATTCACAGTCATATGTGAAAATAAGTACATGAAACTGAGTTGTCTTTGGTCAGGTTTGATGAAATACTACTTGAATAAATTTCTGAAATTTTCAGGAATTTTTAATATATTCACATAATTGCAGAAAACAGTCCAGCTATCAACATTTATATGTTGATGTAGTCATTATTAATGTGTTTGGAATTCTCAAAGGATCGCAAGGATGTTATGATTTGTGCACAGATTTAGATTTGAAGCTCTTGAGCTCCTTTTAGAATTCGAATAAATGTCAGACCAAGTAAACCAGAGCACTACACTCTACTTAAATGAGTCACTACAACATGCTGAAACAGGTATCAAACTGGTGTGAACCATTGCACCATGCAACAGATTGCCTGGCATCCTGAACAGCTGTATTTTTGCCTCGTAAGCAACTGATTATCACAAACAGGAGCAGGAAACAGCTGTAATTTCAACCTATCCAGGAAAGAACACAGCTGATTTTATAACTGACAGTCAGGAAGGTGTAGAAATCTCCAGCAGGGAGGAGAGCATGACAAGCTGGAGTCTGGGACTGGAAGCTTCTGAAGCTGCGCAAAGCAGCTGACAAGAAATTTCTGTCTTTCAGAACTGCTCTAGAAGGCTCCAGTCCCCTTGGCTGAACTCAATCTGCTGTACATATAGAGCTGTGCTCCAGCCTATACCTGGCAGAAGAAAGAACAAGCAAGCAGGAAGGAAAGAATTTTAGAAACAAAATAATAAAAAACAATTAGCACATTTGACAATAATGGGCAGTAAAACAGTGGCTATTAAACAGTTCTAACACTAGTCCCATGAACATCAACTGAAATCACATGCTTGCTTCCATTGTTTACAGGGTGTGAGCTATGAGAACAACAACCAGGGTTAAAATGATTTAACTAACACATAATAAAAAACAGCCATGGTTATTACCTAGAGATTTTCTTAGCTTGTATTTTTGTAAAGCCCAGCTCTGACGGAGAGATGTCACCTTCTACTACAAGATCACTAATGATGTCAGTAACACCGCTCAGACCAGTGATTTGCAGGGGATCTTCCAAAGAGCTTAAAGTTAGGCAGGGGGGAAAAAAATGTTATTAATTTAAAGTAGAACATGCCTGTAAGAACAAGGTAAAATCCTTCCTCTTATGCTTAAAATGAGAACATTCAGGTTGTTTTACCAGAAGCCTTTGGACTGAATTTTCTTTCCCCTACATCTCACCGTGTTAGGGCACACAGGCAATACCTGGATAATGTATGTAGATGCACTGTCTAGAAAAAGTTACCAGCCATCACCTCAGCTTTGCTGTCACCACGTACACTTTACCCAACTTTGTAGCTCCTCAGTGTGAATGGGACAGAATGAGCAAGACCTGACTAACATCAGGGGTACTGCAGCAAAGAGGCCTTTGACTAAACCATCCAGAAATATGGCCCCATCCAGAGCTGAACTGCCTGAGCTCAAGTGGGGTGCAGGAACATGGCTGGCCCAGAGCAGGCTGAGCCTGGCAGCCCAGAAGGCCAGGAGCACCTACAGGGTTTGTACTGCTGCCCATGCAGAGATAAGTCTGTGGGATGCTACCAGTTTCAGGAACCCCAACTCTCAGTGACCTCCTAAGCAAGAATCGGTGTGAGTGAGTGAACAGTTTTACCTAAATTGTGCTCATTTCTTTCCTCTCTCTAATCAGTTGCTTTCAATAAACCCCAAATCTCATGTAGTTTATGATTACAAGCTACAGTTGCTTCAAGTTACTCCTTTGGGTAAAAATCACCATCTGCTGAAGTTTATTGCCTCACACCCATCCTCAAGGTTATGTGATCACTCCCTGATCTACTTCAGTCACAACAAGCAGTTTCACTTGAAACACTTTAAAAATAAACTAAACCATTTAGTTTACTGCTATGCTTCAAGCAAAACAATAAAGGTGGGTAGCTGAGCAGAATGACAAGGAAGAAAGGGAACCCAGCTACTGTTTTCTACTGCACAACTGGATCCAGAAGATTAACAGCAGTTAACAGTAAAAAATATGTATGTCAGACCATTTTATTTAATGCATAAGATCATTCCAGTTTTGAAATCTTCAGTCTGCTGCTGTACACTGTTCATATGGTAACACTTCAAAAACTTTCTGGTGATAGTTGGCCTCAAGTAGATGACTATGAGCAGCAATTACATGTACTTGTTCAAAACCAGTGTTTTGCAAATAGGAGAATAGGAGAAATAGGAGAAATAACAACACAGAGAATAGCAGCATCTACATTAACAGCTCTGCTACCTGTAACTAGAAAGCACTTTTGCCTAAAGTAAATCTAAGAGGCACTACCAAAATCAGAGTAAATGGATGAAATTAATAAAAAGGCTTTCATTCAGTTTGAAAATGAATGCCTCGATTTTTATGTAAGTGATAGTTGCACCTTGTCAGCCCCCTTTTTGATAGGAGTTTAAAGTAAACAAATTTTGAACAGAAACAATGGCAAAATACATACCTATCACATAGATCTCTGCATGCATGAAACCCTGAAACAGAAACAGACTTTGTTAATAAAAGCCTTGCACCTGTACACAAACTAACAATACATATGTTAAACAGCCTGTGGGATAAAATACAGAAATATATCAATCTGAATATGTTGACATTAAAAATAAATGAATTTTGTACATAGGCTTAATGACCTGTGAGAGAGCATGTCATCAACTGCCAGGTTAATACAAAGGAGAACATTAATTAACAGCTGATGCACAGTCAGCTGACCAACATGGATAGTTCTGCTAGGAAGACGAGACCGCTGTTGTCAGTTTTCTGCCATGATCAGACTAAGCTTATCAGTTCCAACTGACTGGAAATTATCTGTTCCAATTAACTATACAGCATTTTATAGAAAATTAACAGTTGCCACTTCCTTGAAGAAGCCAGGCTACAAACTCCTGGCATTCAGGAAATGTGGCTGAAAAGCAGTATGGATGTCTTGGAAGGAAGAGCACTATTATCCTTCCAAAGCTAAACTGTACTCTCAAAAAGTTATAGTTGTAACTTAGTATCACCTACAGTTTTCTTAGCTTGTAAGTAACAAGTTTATACTTAAAGAGCAAACTTTAAGTATATTACTGTTTATAAAATGTATCTGGGTGTGCATGCCATTTGAGATTCACTTCGGCTATGTGCAGGTATAGGAACCATGTTTTAAAACCTTTTAAGATAGATTGTGGCAAATGTGAATATCAAATGCATGTTCACCTGTACAAAGTATATCTCATATTTAGAAGCTTGAATGTAAGCAATGAAGGCAATATGCAGACAAAAAAAGACACTCTGCATTTTTAAACACAGGCAATAGGTTGCTTGCATAGTGATTTTTCCTCCTCCTTTTAATGCTACTGCAGTCTTCATAATCACAAAGATCAATTTACGGTCAGATTGCAAAATGAAATGAGACCACATAAAATAATGTTTTAGGACACAGCCAGTAGTTACTGTATAGCGATACAAAACAATTTACTTTGCTGATGTGGATTAGATTTAATTGAGATCTCGCCTATCTAGAACATAGGAGGATGACAGAGAAAATAAAGACAGCTTTGCGAGGAAGCTATGAGTGTTCTGTGGCACTGTGCCTATTTATACTCATGTACACTTCACTAAATAATTACAAATCAGCACAGTGATGGGCTAGACCCAAAGTTATTCATTTTCTTTCAATAAACTTGCACTCAATTCCATGATTAATACACTGCTGAACTGTTTTCACAGCTTAGTGATACTGTTCCATCACGTAACATACAAACTCATTATCAGTGCATATCCATGAAACCATTCTAAATAATGCTATCTAGAAAAACTGACAACTGACTTTTATGAGTTCATTGGCATTACATAACATTCTGTATAACAACAATGAGAAAGTATTACACCAGGAAGAAAAGGTTTACTTATTTTTAAAAGCAGAAAAAGGGAAAAATTAACATTAAAGATTATACCAGAGGATGGCTTTATGTCACTAGTGAAGTTAGAAGCAGATGCTGCAGAGGCAGGCGAGTTTACTTCCAACGTGGCATAATTGGGTACAGGATATTCCAAGTTTAAGCCCTCCTTTTCATCATCTGTAACATCTTCAAAAATCATGCCCTTCAAATCATGTTCTGATTCCATGAAAAAATAATAAATATAGTAATTAGTGTAGACCAATGAAAAAAAACCCACAATGCAAAAATTATCATTCATATATATTTGTTAGTGGCATATCTAGGTTATCTGTCAAACCGAGAACAACCTGAACCTAGAACATCCAGAACCTAGATCAGTTGTGCCTCCCTGTGAAAGGGCACTACCAGAGCTGTGATGTATGTACCAGTCCTGTATATGTGAACAAAAAGACTAAATTATGAGCTGCTCTATGTGAGGCTAATGGACACCTTAAATATTGTCTTATGTGTAAATACAGATATAGCCATGATTTGGTTCTACCACTTGGCTTTGTACTAACTTGATAAGTAGATTAGACTATGTTTTGGTATGAATGTAAAATGGACCTGAAGTACGTACCCCTAGCATGCTCCTTCTTGGCACAGTACAGTAGCTATAAGTAAACAGGTACTACATAGTTAATCATTATATAAACAATAAATTATTCAATACATCAGCTCCAGTAAACAGTTAAGCTGATGTAAGCTTTTATTAAAATCAGCAGATATCACAACTAAATAGTCACCAAAGATGCATGAAAAAAGTTTCTTTATACACACAGAGAAAACCGAGGACAAATTTCATATCCTTTTATATTAGCGAGCAAAACATTCATAAGCACCATGTTTTGATTTTATGATACAATAGAAATACATACTATCATCTTTAAAATCTTATACTCAAGTCCCACATTATGGTTTTGGAAAAGATGAAAGTATACAGATATTTTCAAATGCATTTTTGTTGAAGCAGTACCCATAACATTCAGATTTTCGACCTTTGATTTTATTTCTCTCTCTCATTTTTGATTTTTGCTGCACATTTCAATAACACCTTTTGGGATTGCATTAAACTTCAGCAGTAATTAAAAGTTAGTCAAGTTCAATATTTACTATCCTTCTGTTAACTGAACACATACCATCATCAATGATTCTAGCATCTTCAGAGAATGAAGGATGAGCACCAGGGTCTGAATTGGCAGCCATTTCAAAATCTTCTATTATTTTCACTAGCTATAAATGAAACCCAAAAAACTAAGTAACAATACATTCTTCAAGGTATTTCTGAGACTTAAACCACAGATATTCATGCAAACTTTGCTTTAAATACGTTTTTTTTCTCAGAATCCTATCAACATTTTAATGGAGTATCCTGATTCAAAACACAGAAAATAGTTGAGGAATCAAAGTAGCTCAAGTAGATTCATTTCATCTCAAGAGTTAATCTTCAGGACCTTTCCTCTGAGAAAAATATATATGACCTGTATTATTCTTTGAACAGTTTTACTGCTATTGATCACATTATTTTTATGTTAAAAATAGCTTAAGTTTTCTAGTATATCTTATATAAAAGCTACAGAAATAAAAATACTTCCATATTCTTCATAGGTCAGGAGTTTCCTGAAGCTTAAAACCAGAAAGTGAAAACTAAAACCAACTAACCTAGATTTAGACTTTTTACTGAATATTACTCTTACAAAGAACAGGCCTTGAAACTGATTTCTAACACATAAGAAATTGTTATAGAAGGAATGACCAACTGGTGTGCACTGAAGTAAGGGCAAAAAAGAAAATGGGTTTATCTTCAGGATTTGGCTAGATATCCAGAAGTTTTAAAGCCCAAATACAGTGAAATGCTGAAACAAAGAAAGGATATGTGAAGGTTTTTTTCATTACAGGCTTTTAAAAATCTGGCTAGATAATCACCGAGATGATGGATATAAGTAATTAAATAATCCAGTGTAATAACTTATTAAATTATTATTAAATAATCTTAGTGTAATAACTGTGTGTAGGTGACACAACGAGGTCCTTACATTTCTGTGAATATATGAAAGAACAGGCAATGACACTATTAGTTTGAATGATTATACAAAAAGTAGGTGCTGTGGAATTACACAATGCTACTGAACTCATTCTGTGTTAAGCCAGGTCTACAGGAACTGGAAATTCAGGAACTGGAAATTGACTTAGTTTTCTTGATGTGCAAAGAAAAAGAAATTTTTTTTACCAGCTATGTAAAATCAGAACCTACTGGCTCATTCTTAGATTAGTCAACTCCCAGTTTGCTCTAAACTTAATAAAAAAGTCAAAGTAATGTGAAGAAGTAATTACCAGCATTCCCCATTCCACATACACCTAAAGTCAGTCACACGTGAAGCTGTAGGCAAATTAAACTAGATATAGTATTAAGAGGTCAGTCTGCTACATCTGAATACTATGTCGAAAATGCATTTGGTTTACTTCTATGTTTAGACTTATAACGACGTTAAAAATGCAAATATTTTATAAAATAAATAGGAACAGGTTCCAGAAATAGTCACATAACATTCTGAAGAGGCACAACTGCAGAAGTCTTTGCCAAAAAGGTCTCCTGCTCAGCCTGAACTTCTGTGCTATTCTGTTTTCCCAGTAACAGAGAAACTAAATATATTCTGCCCATTCACTAAGAACATCACCATTCTGGCCAGCGTTTGGTCCATTGTAAGTAACCATATCAGCCAACAGATGCAGCACTAAATGTGAAAGAACTGTATATTACTCTCGATCTCTCTCAACATATACTAAGCAGATTTGAAAATACATCATTAGCTGAAAGAAGTTAAAAAATAAACTGTTTCAGACACAACAGTTAGCAGTCAGAACTCACCAGTTTGGTATTTCTGAAATCCTCCTCCATATTTTCTGTTATGTTCTGTAGTGTCTCTAATTGCATATCCATTTCCTGCTGCTTTGTGGAAAAGTATTCTTTGCCAATTACTTTGGATGGAAGCCCTGAAGAAGGAAAAGTTCTGTCATCTTCAAGTACTATGTTCCAAGTTACACTGTCTCTAGCAGAATCTGACTTCTTATCTTCCTTTTGCACTTGGCTTGATGCATTTTTCAGATGATAGTCTTGAAATAAAAAAAAAAAAAGAGTACACCAACATCACTGAATAAACTGCAAACATTTAAGTACGGCAAGTCATTAGGCATAGCTGTGCTATACCTAATACTATGTTTTAGGGGGCAGGAATCATCACAAAAGAAGTCAAATATATAAATGTTTTGATATGTAAGACTAAAAAAGCAGACAGTCAGTTGGGGAAAGGCTGCAGGTTTTCTGTGGGAGATGAGAGTATTACAACAAAAGTGTACAGCTGCTTTTTCTGACAAAAATGGTTTACCTTTCTTCTGAGGCACCTCAGGTGGAATTGCATTAGTAACAGAAGCTGTCATGTGATGAAGTTTTGCAGTAGATGGAATTTCAAACTTCTCATTTTGCTGTGTAGTAGCTATCTCTTCTGCAGACTCAGGTATCGTGGGTAAATTTTTAAGGATGTCACTGTCTTCAATGTCAATCACACTGATATATTCATGTTCACTCTAAACAAGAACAAGATAATGAAGAATTATATAGTATGTGTTTTGCATACATTGTTTACAGTACATTGTTAACCATTTCCTGTGTTTACCTCTTAGCACTTTGAGTTGAAAGGCTTTTTGTTTTGGAGACAAAATAACTACAATCTTCCCTATAGTATTATACAACTGACTCATCCAGATATAAAGAACCCAAATTCACGAGGTAAGACGAAGAGTACTCTTAAAATGTATTTTAACCGTATGTACATTGGACCACTAACCAAATCAGGTGCATCTGACAGAAAGGGTGGTAAAGGTCTCTCATTCACTTCAGTGGGGAATCTCAGGTTTAAATACATGTCTGGTGGTAGTATCTCAGAGGCACTAGATGATTCTATGAGGAAAGAGTAATAGTCAGTATTATATTTACAGTAAAAGCCATGGAACTTCAGGCAAACTATGTGGAAACAGGTCTGCACTCTCTAAATGATAAGAAAAGCTTTGATTAGCATTTCTTTTAAGAAGTTAAGATAGACAATGTAGCTTAATAGGTTTCTTTAATGTTTGCTTCTAACAATAAATTACTGAATTATTTTTCATTTTGGTGACAAATTAGCTGGAAAATACTCAAAATATTAAAATCAAAGCAACATGCTGAAGTCTAAATTGCTATTCATTTCCAATTCCCTCCTGAATAAATTAAAAAAAAAAATAAAAATCTGCATCTTTACTTGATCCAAATAAATGATACCACTCAGCTAGAAAGACCTCTGATAAACTATCTGCAAAGAAGTAATGTGATGCAGTAAAATAATCTTCCAAATGGAACAACACTGTTGAATTTTAAAAGAAAGGAAAAATTAATACGCTCACTTGGGACCATAGGGAAAATACTTAGGTACTGAATCCCATGTAGTACAATTTATCAAGTATTTATAAAATGGTGGGAGAAAACCCAAACCAAAATAAACCTTCTTTAGCCCAAAATCCAAGTTACCTTCTATTTTTTGTTCTACAAACTGACCCAAAAGATTGGGAATAAAATTCCTAATTGAGATTGGAACATTGTTACTTGGCATACAGCTATTACACAACTTAACAGATGCATGGAACAACTGTATATTTACCTGAGCTACTACAGCTCGATTTCAGATGGAGTTATTATCTGTCTTAACATCCCACTGGTCAATCCATTTGGTCTACATTACCCTAACTCCCCAAGATTAAGCAGCACTAAAATCAAGGTAAAATCCACAAACGTACCTCCTCATATAGGAATACAAAAGCATAGGTACAGCGCACCATGAAAAATTCCAGCCAAACTTTTCATAAACAGTATTATAATTATTTCACATTTGGTTTCAAGAAGGCAGATAAATTAGCATCTTCTTATCTATATCCTACATTAAGCTACCTCATGTGCAAAAACCATGTTAAAATTGTAATATTTTATAGACTTCCCAAACAACAAGTGAAGTAGAGAAAGGCTGAAGCCACACCTGACACAGGAACAGACATGACTGACTCATTTTTTTGAACCTCATTTCCAGCACTGTTTCCAACATCCTGATATGATTTGAGCACTTGGTGGGGAAAAAAAAACAAAAGAAAACAAAACACATGAATTTAAGGAAAGACACTTATGGCATTATCTGAATGTACATTTCTCATTTCCCAGCTCACAATCAAAGCAAGGTCGGGGGAGAAGAGGCAGGGAAACAATTTCAGCCACATATGAAACATTGTCTAAAATGCATTTAGATAAAGTCAAGCTAAGCTGAAAGGAGCTTTCAGGAAAAGTCACAGCAGAACTGACTTACAGAAAGCATGTGGAGACTCCTACATAACTGCACCAGTAATAGTTTTATTTATAATTATTTTAACTAATATTTTGTCACTTATATTCCAGTATCTTCTGGTTTAATAGTTTTTGAAACAAAAAGTTACAGCAGGAAAAACTGTTTTTCCCTTTAAAAACTTAGTCCATTTTGGAAACTGACCAAACATCACAATTAACAAGAAGCATTACCAGAAATAGTTCGTTGCTGTAGGTCACGCAGGTAGCACTTACCTGGGTGAGTATTTGTACTTGCATCTTGAGTTTCATCTTGAGTTTCTGCTAGTTTTTTTCCTGTAGAAGCCATGTAATGTAGGTCTGCTGAAGTAGTAACTGCTTCCCCCATTGTGTCTAAAATGTGATCATACACAATAGGTGTCTACAAATAATGCAAGAATTAGATATCTATGAAAGCAATGATATGAACTCAAAACTAAGGGCTCCGACAGATTTTTCTTTGCACTTCTGACAGATAATTTTAACCTTTCTCTAAACATACTTCATGAACGATTTCAAGAAAAGTTTGTACTACCTGCCTTATGTGAATATGCAGTTGTACTGAAACTCACCATGTTACACTGAATTAAAATCAAGGCCCGGTTTGGATGTGTAAGTTTTAAATTCAATATTTTATGAATATTTTATGCCATACAATAACATATTTTTTCTCACTTTACAAGGGGGCAAGTATTTTTGACACGTATACCTTTATTTCTTTATTGATATTTCTACACAGCTTTAAAAGCCAGTATTTCTCTAAGGCCAAATTTCAGAGAATGGATTGCATTTTGTCCTCTGATAGGACTAAATATTGTGCTGAATTCATGTACTAGAAAGAAGCAAATCTTTCTATAGTCATGGTCTTCATTTTGCAAGCTAGAAATATTGTAAACATTCAGTTTCCTTTAGAAGAGCCTTAAATTCTGTGTAACTACAATATGCAGGCAAATAAAATTGGGATAATATATTTTAAAAACAAATAAACTGATTTAGAATTTGAAAGCATTGTTTACAGCATTTTTCTGATTAATCACATGAACACAAATCACTGAACCATAGTTACTGAAATTCACTCAACATACTGTTGTTATTTTGTGAAGCCTATTGTAACATTAATAGAAGATTATTGCTTATTTTTAAGAAAACTTAGAATACTTCTATAATTTTCAGGAGAATTACCCTGAGGTTACAGACAATTGATATGAGACTTTAAATTTGCCTGCATCTCTCTCCACACCAATCCCTTGAAAACCAACTATCCAAAAAAAGACTGAGTATCTGTTGTACATCCTGAAAGGTTTTCCTAATTTTCTGGGGAAAGATCCCATAAACCATTATGCTGTATTGCCCACAGACTACACAATTTGAGTTTTTAATATCTTGGTGACTACAGAGTTCTCCTTTGAAATCTAACATACTTCTGTTCCTTGATTTATTTTATTTAAGCACTCAAAGGATTAAAAAGACTTGTACTTGCCCACTGAAATGAAAACACCATCCTGAAGGTAAGATGTAGATTTTGCTTGTTGATCCTAACATAAGGAGAAAAAGAATTATCTTAAAAAATAGTTTCAATGCCAATTAAAGGCTTTCTTGATGCTGTTAACTTCCCAATATAACTCCTTTGAGTAATGATTTTAAAAAAAAGAAAAAAAAAAATCATTGTGATGTACTTTTATTACCCCCTTTTTTAATTCTTCTCATCCATTCCAACTAGTGGAATTACTGACTACATAACATTGTTTCCCATACATTCCTTGGGGTGATCTGCAGTAACACAAATTCCTCATTCTTCTTCAAGTATATGCTATCTCTGCTGTACCATAATTAATATCTCCCAGGTCTGGTGAAGCTCTCCAGCTGCTGTGCTGGACAGGGAAGTCTCAAAGAAGATACGGTATTTCTGCCGCTCTGGGTAGTGACCTAGCTTTAAATCTGGTAGTGTTCTAGCTTGAAATCTGGTACTTGCAAGGGTAACCCCCAAATATGTTAAAAGAGATATCCTACCAAAATAGACAAGTTCCTGTCCCAGAAAAAACAAAAGCAACCTTGGAATACTTCATAAAAATAAATCTCTTGATTACAGGAAATGGAAGTATATGAACAAAAGACGTATATTGTTTCTAGGCTAGAGACTGGAAGAGATTTATGTCATTGTTTTGGTTTACAATTTCCTATTTCTTTCTTTCCTGTTAATACCTGAATGGGAAAAGGCAAAGAAAAAAACATTTCTTTATACCCCAGTTCCTGATTCAACAACCATCACTGTGTCACTAATACTGATGATGGAGTCATCTGGGCAGAAGGACACACTTGGTTTCTTCTTTTCCTCCTTCTCTTTCATTTGTTTGTTATCACGCCTCTTTTGTCTGTCAACATATGAATTACAAATAAAAAATAAGAACTGCACTGAAATAATAAAAATACTATCATTATTTTCTAAGAAGTATTACTGTTAAGAACTATACACTGAAATAAATGTGGAAAAGACAAACACAACTGATGCATACAGATCAGTTCAAAGCACTACTTTTGCCTACCAGAAATCTACATAAAACTGTTGTAGAAACTCATAAAAATGCTTAACAATCACACCAAAATCTGTTGTCTAATAAGCTATTTGTATCAAATATTACAAACTGCATAATATTCTATATCTATATTTTGTGTATAATAAAATAATCACTACTACACAAAATCCCTGTAAAAATCTGTAAGAAATACTCCAGCAAGAAACCAACTTCTGTTACTGTTGAAACTTTCTCATTAACTATTTTACTAAAAGTTGCAAATTTTCTTTAATATCTGATAAGTAGAGTATAAGACAACAATCACAGCTTCAAGAATTTCAGCTGATAATATCAAAACAGGTAATCTAAACTCCAGCTGCAGTTATTTATGTATCAATTGTTTTTCACGCTAAGAGCGAAAAACTCATCTTAGAGTCTGTGTTTCCAACTGCCAGAGTTAGAAGCATCATAACCAGAAGCAAGTGTTCTGTTCTAGATACAATGATGTCATTAACTCTTCCATGGACAACACAGGCCTGTGAAATGTCAGGAATCTACTGACATTATATAAGAACTGAACAAAGATATGCATGCAGCTTAAACAAACTGTTTTAATTACCTGGGCAATCAATTAACAAAGAATACATCAAATTTCCAAAGTCATGAATAACATACCTAGCAAAACAAAATAAAATATCCTTTCAGCAGAAGCAGGAATTTTGCTAATCACCGCCCAGATTCAGAAACAGAGGACATAACCCTTTCCTTCTTGAAGATTACTAACAGTAACGATAAGCAGTGCAGACGGTAGCCTATTAAGATTCACTGCATAAGCAGCAAAGCATTTCATAAATAGCATACAGCAAACAGCCAGATGACAAGACTTTAAACCACAGATACCAGTATGAAAAACATTTCCTGTTGAATCTTCTTCCTATCAGCCTGGTAATAGCAACAACCCCTTCATGCCCTAACGCTACACTTCTGCTGTGTCTTTACTAATATTTGCTATTTCATTCTCCTCCAATAGAATTTCATCCAATCCCACTTTATTTGAAACTGTTGTAAAGACTCCCACTGATTTCAAAGCTAGAAGGTACAGGTTACCAGTAAGTCTTTCAAAATGAAGACCCACTTTAAAAGTTTGGCTTGCCTTTTTCTATTACTCCGCACATCTCTTAGTTCAAATGGTTCAACATCAGTTTTTAGTAACTGGATAGGTTCAGTTTGGTCTTGTCCAAAGGAAGTACTGGGCACAGTATGATGCTGATGGCGTTGCTCAAATGCAATGAGATCTTGAAGTGGAATGAGTTTTGGTGCCTGAAAGTGTTCAGAGAGAGAAAGAAGCAAAAATGAAACAATGATAAAGGAAACAGAGAGAGGAACCCCAGTCAGACTGGATGAACAGAGCAGGTTCAGTTTGGATCTCAGTTACACAACTCCTGTAGCAATTTGTGGAGAAAGTGAAAATGTAGTATTAACAGCATCAGACCAGAATGTCAGCTAATGTGTACATGTGTAAACTATTTTCTGAAAGTAAGCTAAAAGATACTAATTTTCTCCACAGAATGTATTTCACTAATATTTGCATTTCTAATGTACGTGTTTGAGAATGAAGGTAGGAACTGCGCAATGTCGACAAAGACTGAAGAAGCAGCTTTCAAGGAAAAACATTTCCATTCTTTTCAACTGCAAGGGGCAAGCATATGAGAGTCTACCAGAACAACACTTTTCAAAACATCAAATTCTCAACATCCAGAAGACAAGGTCTTCTTACCAAGCCTTTTAGCATTCCATTTCTGCCCTTACAAAAGAGGATTCCTTACTGCATTTTTTGTATTTCTGTAAATAATTCTACTTAAATTTATGTTAAAACAGAACTATTTTTTACCATATAAATATTATCCAGTATTTTAGATAGTGAATTCCTTACATTAATTATTAATGGACTGAATGTCGATGAACTATGGAATGTGGAATGAACCTAAGGTTGTTAAAAACATTTCCAGGCTTGCAGCTTGCCTCATATTGACATGCCAATAAGGAGGTGCCTTAGTTCCAGATCCCCTCTGGTAGCTGTGCTGAACAATTCCAAATTCCATACTCTGGAAACATTAACGTATTTTTGATGAATAAGAAATCATGATATTGAAAAAAAACTTACAGCTTAGAAAAGTAGATTATTAAAATCCAGTACCTTCTTTTTTTGATGTAAATTAGCATGGAGTAATGATATTCCTGTGTGCTGTAGTGTTTCTCTGCAGTCAGTCTCCTTTGTTGCAGGTTTAACAGGTATTAAAGTAGTAGGGATTGGCTGTCTTAGAACTGATGCAAGTCTAGGTACTGGGTCAAGTTGCAAGTGCAACAGTGGAATACCAGCCAGGTTCTGAGTGATCAGTGCTTTGCCCATATTCACATTTGCAGAGAACTGCTGCCGAGGTGAAACTTCTTGCTGTCCTTCATACTGGTCTAGATTCAGGTGTTTGGGAGGTCCCTTACGCACAGTTTCTGCCCATCTTTTCTCTTCCTCATGTATTTGCTTTGGGATCTCAGGGTCATATCTACGCACGTTCAAATCTGCTGTTGACTTACTCTTTCTTGGTGTGTGTGATGACTGATGGTTCCATAAGGAATCTGACGAACTCCAAGCTACTCGTGGTACTGGGGGTGGCCTAGCAAAAGCTGATGACATTTCTACTGGATGTAAAAATGCCGTTTTGAAAACATAGCCTGATTCAAGCTTAAGCAAAGGAAATCCATTTGAGTAATTAATCTTTTTTTCAATAGGGATAAGCTTGGCTGTTTTCTGGATGTCTGAGGAAGGAGCTAGAAGATGAAGTGGTTTAGCAGGTGCTGAAGAATGCAACTCTTGAGACGGTGGCGTAAGCCCTGTTTCTCTGCTGTGGCTTTCTAATAGACTTAAAGAAACATTCACATCCACGTGATTCTAAATCAGAAAAGCAAAGAAAACAGCATTTACAAGTACCTTGAAATAGCAACCATGCCCTAAATATGCACAAAAATGGTATAAATTTTTTTGTCTACAGCAATTACTACAAAAACATTTCCTGATTTAATAGGACAGATAACATATCAGATATACAGAACAGTCTTCATAAACAACACTTTGATATACCTACTTTTACATGGCCACTGTTGCTTTCATCTCTTAAACCATTCCTTGGTTGAAAATCAAAGCTCTTTTGACCAGGTTTTCCTTTATCTTCTTGAGTGCGCAGCTGTGTTTTCAGAGAGCCACTGCCTACCACAGTGTGTGCAGGCTGGCTTCGGTCCAGGTGATCCGACTGATACTGTTGCACATTTGGCAGGTTGGAAAAGGATGACTGCACTATTTGCATTAAACTCATGAAGTTGATTTGCTGTAGCTGGATACAGACACACAAAGTTAACGCTGTAAACAGCTTTAACAGGAATCTTAGCAAAAATTCTATGTCTAGGCTATGTTATAACTGTTCTTTACCCTGTTAATAAAGGTGACAAAATAAACAACATTCCGAAGTTTCGATAACGATTCATTTGTATGATTGTTTATTGTACTGAACTTTAAGATACATTAAATACCTGCCACAGATAGGTTATGCTAAAGCAAGGCAAATTCCTTCACTTTTGTGAAGTCTGAGTAAATGTAAGGTCACATAGAATTGTCTCAATGTACTAACAAAAATTAAATTGTAGTATAGCTGCGAAGTTATTACAGTTTCAGAATTTTTCCTAATCTATACTATTAGAGCACACTACATTATGTGAACTAGAACATACTCAAACTTTTATTATTACTCATTTTCTTGAGTAAAAAGCACAAGTTAAGTCGAAAATAAGTTTTCACAGTAGTTTATGTGGAACTTGAAATCTCTTTCAAAAACAACCACATACAGAATACCTTTAAAACAGCAATCATCCCCACTGCTTTAAATAACACAGTTTATACTGTGAACACTATTTTCAATAATGAGATGCTCTCACCTGAACTAACTTAAACATTTCATCTTGGAGCATCTGCCTGACAGTTTCTGATGTGTTTAGCTTCTCTTCTGCAGGGACTTCTTTCTTGACTTCTTGCTTCTTTGCACAAATGGAAGTATCGGAGGCAACACTTGACATAGTTGACCCAACAGTCTGAGAAGGCTGACCATCACTTAGAGAAATCTCTACATTACTTGAGAAGGAAAAGAACAAAACTATTAAAACCAATCATAGTTCAGAACACCTATACTAGGTTGTCTTAAATAAATCCAGAAAATTTTAAAGATATCCTCATTTTTCTAAAGCGTAATTAATTTTTAGGAACAATTTAATAATTAACACTGCACAGTCTTCACTGGAGAACATGTATAACATCTTTTTCCTAATGCTTCCTAGTATACTGAATGAAAAACAGTAGTAAAGACATAAGATCTATCTGATTTTTTAGTCAGAAGGGTATCTGAAATGTTATCTTCACTAGAGATACTGGTAGAAACCAATGATTTGACAGAAAGAGGGCCCGATTAGTCATAAAATCAAACAGCTGATGGAAAATGGAGAAGGACATTATTAGCTGAAATAAGAGATGGCAGATCACATTCATTTAAATAATCAGATGTACCTTTATATATTTGGAAATAAAAATCAACAATGTTTCAGATCAGAAAACAATTAAAACTAAAATAACATGTACCAGATAATACAATATATTGAATTTTGTCACAGACATAATTAGATCTTCTAGTAGATAAAGACTATTAAGTAGATGAAGTCCTCAAATGAAGAAGAGAGGGTTAGAATTTCCATTACGTTATAAACAAACTGAAGGACTTTACCTACATCAACAGAAATTTACCTAAGAGACATTTCTCTATTTAAGAAAAATGCTGACATTGCTATGGGTACAGGCAACCTTTGGAGGATTTTTGACAACTGAACAGGATGGTCTCCAAGCATGTAAAGAAATAGAAGCATAAAGCAATGGCTAATGAGTAATACTGAAAGGTTTTGGGTATATAACAGCTATGAAGGGGCACAGGAAACCTCCTGGAAGACAATGAGAATGTGTAAGCATGGCACGAAACCCTAGAAGTTGAAGGTTTTTTTGTTTGTTGGTTTTTTTTTTTTTTTAAAAGCTGGCATGAAAATATCAAGAATGAAATGAGACAAGAGACACACAAAAATGGAATCCAAACGGATTTGTACTTCAGATCTTCCTCTAAACTGAACAAAACTCATAGAGGACTGTTCTAGAAGTGAAAGCCAGAGATTGACTCCTGACCCCTTCTCCCAATTACAGTCATCTCCCTGTTTACAGAAATATTATGTATATGTTTATGGGTATCTAGCAGTTGCTGTAGGACATATACATCTTAATAATTTTATAAAAATGTGAATATACGTTTATAATGTTATTCTTAGGTGTTTTATGTAACAATATATCTTCTATAGTAATATTATATAATTACAATGATTCTGTCTGGAACCAGAAAACAAAAGTTTGACTCCTCTTGAAATCTGGTAGCTCTGAATTAACATGTTTGACTCGTGATATTCTGGACAACATGCAAGAGTACATGATCCTCAAGGATTATAGTACAAAAAGGTTTCAGGAAAGGCTACTTAGTACAACAGTTTGCAGGTACAATATACTATACCGGCAAATATTTTATAATCAAGTCTACACATCATGTTATTTCAGACAGAAAATTTAGTAGGGGTAGTCCATTTTTTATTATATGAAACATTAGATGTTTATCTTACCTGGGAACTTCTACACCTTGTTCAAAAGAGAATGACTGAGAAACGGTGCTAGTAACAACCTCAGTCATGCTATAAAGAAAGAAAAAATTAGTAATGTAAATACTACAATAATTTGTTACACTGTTTATTTTCATTTTATATACATGTATATACATAAATGTGTGTGTGCACGTATATATACATGCACACACACACACATATATATAAAAAACCTGAAAAAGTGTTTTAATTAGTATGAGATAAAATACCTGAAAGCCACCTGATCAGAGCTATACTGATCTGCATTGCTTCAATTACTGCATTACACTGCAATTTGAGCTGGCAAATATTGACATTCATGCTTTGTCTCCCTAGCAATCAGAAACTGACTCAAACAAAAGCACTGAAAAGGTTCTGGCTATTCAACACAAACAGCAGGCAAAAAAAGAGGTTGATCTGACTTGACAAAAGAAGAGAAAATTCAATTTAAGCAATACTGTTTATATCATTACAATCCGCATTCCTAATAAAGAAAAGCAAGTATCATAAGAAATTCTTGAGGGGCATTTTATATGCAGTTATTTTTGTTTCTTTCAAAACAAGAATATATCAGTTTAAAATAGCAGAGGATTCTAAGTCTTTCTAAAAGTAAGCCATTTAAAATTTTTCCACAAACATTATATATACACAGGAATATTTATTTATATGCCATCACAATTAATAAGACTTTCTAAAAAAATAAGACTTTCAGGCATCATATATCAGAGGAAAAGGCTTCATCACTACAAACAAATTTGGTGGATTCAAGAAGCTAATTGAAATAATAAAAATAGGTTGATATTTTTCTATCATTAAAACAAATGAAAAAATCTCAAAAGACCAAGATTCCTCATGGTAAACATAACAAACCCTGTGTTTACAAAATATAGAGATTCTTCCCCTGAAAAGCTTCAGAGAAATCAAACTGAGCAGTAATCTATGCAAACAGATGATTTGACAATCAGGTTTATGGACTGTTTCTATTATTTTATATGCATTATATTATAAATGCAGAGATATTTTAAAACATAAAATTTTTTAAAGATCTTAACGAAGTAAATTTCTTAAGTTGTGTAAAATACCTCCCTCCCTCTTTTAGGAGCTAACAAGCTTATTGCCCATGTCCATTTTTATCTCACCTTCTGCTTCCTAGACACCAACCTCTCTTTCTTCTATGTTGTGTAACAAATTAACTGTTAAGTTTCCTAGAATCACAGCTCTCCACCTGCATTTAGCCTGAAGATACTGCTCCTATTTCAAGTATGGGGAAGCAATTGTGTCTGAGAGCTTTCCCAGTTATTCTCTATCCTTTACCCAAATACAAACTACACCCTCCCACAAACCATGCCTCTTTCATTTGATCATTACTAAAATAACCACTCATTCACCCCACACTTTGTACATGTGAAATGCCTGTGTATGTGAAATAGGAGATGAGTGAAATTTTGCTTCAAACTATAAGTTTATTGCAGTAAACAACAGCAAGAGCCCCTCAAGACTTCACTGGATACCATAATTAACAAAACTACTTTAGATTTTTTAAACAAAATTAAAACAGAAAATAAAACAACAAAAAAAAGTCTCTCACGCATTCTGTTCACCCTTTCCTTCCTTTGTTTTTTCCATCTTTTGGTCTTCCTGAGGACTATATACATCTGAAATGGAGACGTGCTGGAATACAAAAAGATGCATGTGAACTGGCAAATTTTTATGCCACCCTTCTGCTTCAATAAAGTTTTGTGTTATTTTATTAGGCTAAGGCAAACATATTTTTGATTAATCAGCCACTTGAAAAAATCTGACTGAAAGATAATCAAAATGACATACTTATCAGAGGACAGCTACAGATCAGAAATACGAGATATTAGATTCATCTGAGCATCTTTCTTTTTAAGTCATTATTATGAGTTTTTATTTACAAATTCATATCCATATTATACCCTGGAAATATACTCTACTAATCTCACACCTCCTAGGTAAGGATGAAAATGTGGAAACAACCCTGTTATACACAAATTATTTACAAACTAAGGAATTGAAACAAATGAAGGATTCTACACGTACCACAGATTCACTATAATAAAACGCACTATAGAATTGAAGACCACAATACATTTATTGTTTCTAATCCCATTAACAGAATTGAATCTAGAGTACTACAGGCAAGTAAACCAATGGTACTGCAATTCACATTTCAGCATAATAGGTTTTACCAATTTCAAAGAAAGGAGACTTTCTTTGAAAGAAAGACGATGTATGAAAAAAAGATGATGCATGAAAAAACAAGGCTTGTTTACAGATCCAGACTGAGTTTTCAGACAGGAGCAAAATAAACGTCTTTATACATTTAATTTAAAAACAAGCAAGCATGTGAACAAGGGGTAACCACCCTGTGACAACTTCAGAGACAGCACATGTTTTTAAAGAAAAAAATAATTGTTAATACAGCTTTCTAGTATAACAAAATATACATAAGAATCTGGTCTATTAACCAGAAGACCATCTGTTGTTGTTTTTTGCTTGTGTTTTTTTTTTTTTTAATTTACATGATTTCGTATATGCATGTGCATACATAAACTTATACATGTTATGTAGTGTTATACATTATATAGATTTAATGTAACTTCTATATATATAATTATATATATAGGCATAGACACATTTAGTTTTACAAACAATGAATCAGTTTTCAAAAGTGCTCACAGCAGATCTCACTTTACGGCTGGTAATTACTTTTGACTTTTATTATTGATTTAAGCAGGGGAGAAAATGCACCAATCCTAAATGCTTTAAGCCCTCAATTTCTGAAGTATACTGAGGAATTCAGGATATTTTGAAAAGAGTATTCATAATACTCTGATGCTTCTATGCAAGATGGTAACTTGCCTTTCCTCTTTGGTGTTCTACAGGTTTGACTTTGACAGAGCTGTTTGAGCTCTTCGGAGTTTCGTACGGCTCCTCAAAGAACTCTATAAAATAAACACAATTACTCTACATCATAAAACTAAACGACATACAGCACTGTTATGTGATTTCTGTCAAGTGGTCACATTAGTCCACTTTTTCCCTAGCAAGGAGAAAGGAGTTGAGGTATCTCTCAGCAAATTCAAGATCTGTGTTATCACTAGTGATGATATATGCACCAGAAGTTAAAAACAAAAACAAAAAACAAACCCACCACACAACTTATTTTTCTTGTTATTTTCATGGTAGGAATATGATAAAATTAACCTATGCATACTAAGCTCTTACAATTTTTCAAATCATATTTTACACAGTCACATTAATATTTTAGGAATTAAAGTAAATGATAGAATTAAATATGTTAATATACATTGTCCTATCTCTACAGCAAAAAGAAGTTACATAAGTGAAAACTGATCAACAGGTCTTGAGAAAGCAATTATATAAAATGTAGTTATAATATAAAATGGACACAGTAATAATCTCAATAGAACAATGAAAACTTATTTCCATTTTTTACATAAATAAACAGGAGGAGATATAATCCTATTCAGTCAAAACTCCTCCTATTTTATATGTCAGACCATAGTAAAAGGATATACCACAAAAACGAACCTCCACTTTCTGATGTTACATCTAACTCCTCCTGAACAAACGGTCCCACTTCATTAAGATCTTCAGTCATACAAGGTACAGAATCATTCCCATGATTCATTTCCTTCTTATCAAAATATTTTGACTTTGTAGACATTCTGGTAATTGAAATTACAAATAGTAATTAAGAATAGAAATAATGTAAGTATCTGACTTAGTTTAAGTACGCTGTTCCTCTCAGATTGCAGGCTAGCGCATAACTGTAACACTGCCATGATATAATCAATGTTGATGTAAATTTTCTCTCTGAATTTCACTTAAACCAGGATTAATGCTATTTTTTGGTATAGCTGTGATTTTTTAGTGACATTAATGGTACAGTCTTTCAGACAGGCTGTTTCCAGAAAAATGTAACCAACACATATGATCTATCAAAAATTGAAGACAATCTGCACCATGACTTCAAAACCATTTGGTTAAGGTTACATTTATCTCCTCCACAGAAATTTCCTTCATTAAAAAAAAAAAAAAAATATATTGTCACAGAAGGACCACAATAATGTCTCAGAATATTAATACCAAAGATCTTTTGTTTCTTTAGTGCAGCAGCAGATGAAGAGAAATGTCACAAAGGACTTCAGGTTAAGGAATCTCTATCTCCAGAACTGTGTAAGATATTAACAAATAAAATATTTACTGCCTTTTCCATCTATTCTTCTGACACACACACATATGAACATAGCTAGTTTACAGATCCAGGACAAAATAAACTAATGTTAAGAACTCTCATCTCAACATAAGGAAAATTACACTAAAGAGAGTGGAAGTTACCTGAATTCTTTGAGAAAACCATGATATCAACTATATCAGAAATCTAGATTCCATTTCCACATCATTCAGTTTATAAACAACCATGTACAATTCACTTCATATGCAACAGCTACATTATTTTCTACCTAGAAGTACATCTGCAAATGGAGAATATTTAATCTGCTTCAAGCAGCTGTAAACAATATGCATGAGTGTGACTTTGTACTCACATGTATATAACATATAATAAAAGTAGAACTCTTCATACTGACATGCTGCTTAGCTGAGGAATTATGACCAACTAGAGTTCTTAGGTTAAAAAAAAAAATTACCCAAAATCAGTTTCACAAAGATTATCATAGGCTTGTGCACTCTGAACATCAAGTGGGGGACTGGCCACCATGGAAGACTCTTCATCCATACTATTTTCTTTCTCTGTCCTAGACTGGGCTTCTGGTAGAGGTGCAAATTCTTTCAGATATTGATTATCCATACTCTAATAATAATAATAAAATTCATTAGTTAGAAAAAAAAGACATGATACTTTAAAAAAACCCAATGCTTTCATATAGTATGCTTATGACCCCAAGGATATCACATAGTATATTTACGCTTAACTTTATATCCTTTTCTCTATAATAGATCTGAGAAATACTGGATTTACAGTTGCCTGTGGAACCTGAGTTTTGCCCCTTTTTGCATTAAGTGAAGCAATGGTCCTCTGAATTACCCAAAGGAAATGTAAGAGAGATTTGTCAGTGTCAACTGAGTGTCAATTGTCACGGATGCAATGTGACAATTAAATATACTCTATACAAAGATATACAGTAAGATTTGGCATTCATCACCTGTAATACAAAACTGGTATTAAACTACTCTCAATTATTATCACTGAAGACAGTATGAGAGGCAAAAAGCCATAGATAATCATGCAGTTAGATGCATGCACAGAATTTTGCAGTTAAGTTGTAAGTGAAATACAGGTGTCACTTGACAGAAAATACAAACCAAAACCAAGACAAAATATCTTCTCATGTGGGACAAAAGCCTTCTCAAAAAAACCCCAAAACCTTCTCCCCTCAAAGGCTTTCATGGAGACTTAATTAAAGCAGTTAAGTGATCCAGCTGTCCCTAAATATAAAATAAAGCAATACACACCAGGTTCTTCTGGCAAAGCTCTTTTTTTCATAGAATCATAGAATCATTAAGGTTGGAAAAGACCCTTAAGATCATCGAGTCCAACCGTCAACCTAGCACTGCCAAGTCCATCCAT